GATGTGGAGTTCTAGATCGTTCGTGGGAGGTCATAGCCCCACCATGCAGTGCACGTACGTGCATGGTGCACGTCCGGATTAACCCGTCCGAGTTTATAGCAACCCGTACGGGGGTGGATGTCAACTTTGCGTGGTACTCGCACCACTATGGCCCTCTCAGGTTCTGCATGTAGTAATTGTATCAGTGGCATTTGTGCGAGGACAGCGATAAACATCAGAGCTCATGCTTGCTGTCATTGGTGCTCTGGTACGAGTGCCCATCTCTATGATAACAATGTGCATGTTGAGCAATACATGTACTTGACAGTTGCTTCATGAGATGTAGCTTGTATCAATTAGCTACGTGATCCACTCAATACGTCGTACCATGTGTCGAAACTGCAGTAATGTTAAGTGGCCTTGTAACAAGACAAGAGTCTTCAAGGCTTTTGTCCTTGTAGTTCGAGGTGCATGGGCGCCATTATGATGACAGTGTGCACAGCAAACGTCATGAAGCGTTGCTTAGTTCATTATAATTATTCTTTAAAGAATTTCATCATGAATCGTTTTGATCTTCAAAGTGTATCCGTATTTTTGCTTCAGTAGTTTTTTTTTTCACAAGTCACACATTTTATTTTTGAGTTATTATTGGCTTCCACAGACTCGACGTCCTCTCCCCCCGTTGAGTGATTCACTGGCAGAACGAGCAGCTGCAGGCTGCGGTAGCGATGAGCACTGAGATTGAACCGTGGTACTGAAAGCCGATCCGCTTTCTGCCGCTCAGTGTCACTTCAGATTTGGCGACTTTAAGACGCAGTCGGAGACTGGCCTCTCCCTCTTCGACATTCGATCGTACAATTCCTGTGTGTTCTTCATCATGGTGTGTGCTGCCTTATGCCAGCTGGTCGCTAACAAGCCCTATCATAGCACACTCGTTTACTGCGCCGATACCGACAGAGACCATGTTGTTCTAGTATGTAACACGCCATCGGGTCTGGACGAAGACCGACCTGTCAGCCCGAGAACAAGGACGCGCTCGCGCAACTCAACGATTACGAGGTAGGTCTGCAGAATAGTGACCACTTGTCCTATCCGATTTCACATGTATGCATCGGTCGATTGTGTTCCGTCAGACCCGCCCCATTTGGATCCAAGACTACTCAAACCACAGCTACCCAGTGGATCAGGCTCGATCCGGCAGCACCTCGGTGTATGTAGCAACAGTGACAACCACTACAAAGGTCAGTGTCAAGGACACGACTGCAGAGCACTGCAGCAACCCTACCGCCCTCACGGCTCTTCAGTGTCTTGACCCCAGTGCACGAGATCTACAACTGTAGCCGGGCGCCGATCTGGTGGCGGCACCAGTGACTGCAACCTCTGACCACTTCAAGACTGCCGTCAACCTAAAATGAACGGGCAACAAGGCGCGCGTGGGCAGCACTGTGCCACCGACCGCTTCGATCGATCGTGTACTTACGGTGAAGACTAGTACGGTGGTACACTGTGTACAAATGTTGCATCATCAAGAAAGCATTCAACAATCAAGTACTACATCTACACGTCCGGAGATTGCGCCAGTAACAAAGATCTAAAGAAGATCGTCTACTAGATCTACAGCAAGCACCGCTTCATGTCGACAATGACTGTAGCCTACAGCCCAAAAAAGGAAGCATGCTTGCCGCAAGTGCACGGGCTACCGGAAGTCTACGCAAAGATATTATTCATGTGTGCATCGGGCGTTGGCGGCGGAAGGCGTCGCGATATGTTTCTCATTGGAGCTTTGTCGTTCCTGGTTCAGCTGCTATAAGCTGTGGATGTCGGTGCAAGGACTGCGTTTAAGATCGACCACGGCACGACTGCGTGCTCGCCGAACTCTGCAAAGGCTGCTTTGTCCTGTCTTCAGTCAACTTCGCCGAAGATTCTGGCGCGATGTCTTTGTTCGAAAGGAAACGCCAGGTTGCTCTTCATCTGTCTGTCCGGACCGAGTCTCTGCTGCGGAGCGCTCGTGCAGCAACAGTCGGCTCTCGGTGCTTAGGAGCAGTTTTGTCTTGGTGCTGCGCGCAAGTACAAGTCGGTACCGGAGTTAATACCGTTTCGAGTGGGTCGCATACCTCGAAAATAATCATCCCAGATCACTTCAAGGCCTTCACTCAGATTATGATCGTTTTTAGAATCTACAATCTAGAAGCGATCCAAATTGGTAATCCGGCGAGACGGCTGCCCCCTCGTGATTAATTTTCGGAGTCCCCGCGCCTTGTGAAGTTTGTGGCTTGAGCCGGCCAGATGGGATCATGGCCAGATTGCTCAAGCCAGATGGCGACGCAGTATAGAGAAGTTGTTTACGGAGCGGTGCCGGTGGGTTTTCATAAGAATCACGGGGCCAGGTTTGGCAGATCACGTGCTGCATTTCTCGATTGCGTGTCTCTGCTCAAGGTTTGTGGCTTCGGCCGGTGAGGTGCCAATATGTCGTCGTTTCCATCGCCCAGGCGGCGATGCTGACGCAACTTTGAGGTTCAATCGCTGCTTCGTTGTTCGTGGAGTGGTTTGGGTTTCGCCAAATTCAGGGTGTGACGGCCAGATAAATGCGTAGCACTGCCCGAATTTTTGTCAGATTGCGCTTGGTTCCGGGTTTTACTACGAGTTGCGCTGATTTTACACTAAAATTGCGTTTGTTATGAGACTTCGGCGCTTGATAAAGTGTCCGCTGCGGACTTCGATCAGGTGATTTGCCTTCACTACGCTAAGTTAGTGCAAACAATGTGGGGCCCGTGGTCAAATTGATACTAAAGCGTATTTTTGGGTAGGTGACTAGACATTGGATCGGTAAGCGTAGATCCGTTCGCTTATTTTTTTATCCCTGAAGTTTATGGTGTTCTAATTGATCTTTCGAGTATTTGTTGATGCTAGAATTGCGTGGTGGTGGAATGCCAGTCACGAAAATTGCGTTGATTCCTTGCCACTGTACCACGCAGTCAGTATGCTTACTGTCCTTACATTGTAGGATTGAGTTGGAAACGTTGGGTGGAATGTTTCTTGAAAATAATGCTAAGCGTAACAGTGGCCACTGTGCAACTTCGACAATCGTCGCTCTCCTCGGTTAACCGGTTTGTTCCATTTGGTGGCACATTTGCTGTTGATACTGAGCTGCTATCACTTGATAATCTGCTGAGATTTATGGTTCTCTGGAAGTATGCTGCAATCGTGACACTTTCAGCAATAGCGAGGCGTAAATATTTGAAGATTTGCATTGTGATTGCTCTATTCAGACGCTAAGAGACGACCTGCCCCATTCCACGAAGCTTGTGGGGACTGTAAACGCTCAGCCACCTGTCGGAGCACACACATTTACGCATCAATTGAAACAATCGGCGAGCCTTTACGAAGTCACATGTTGAAGGAGATCTCAAGTGGCTGCTGTTGTAAAGAGCTATTGGATTATTTTCTCTACCTTTGTGTCTATCACCAGCTCTACAGTCCACCCACTTGTCGTCGCAGTTCAGCCCTGGTGCCGTCTGAGAGTGCTCCTTGCAGCTTTGACCTCACTCTGCAATTTGCAGCAACCCTCTCAAGCCCTCTTCGACCTTCAAGTCTTCTTCGCCAAAGTCTTCTTCGCCAAGGTGAACTTCGCTTTACAAGTAACCAAAACTGTCCCACTCCATGCGCCAAGACGACTAACTACCAAGCACACAGAAGTCTCGAGCCGGAACGTCCATCTTGCACGCCACGAGACATGCACCCATTTCCTCCACCGCGACCTCACTCTGCAGAGTCCACTTGGGTCAGCTCGTCGACTTGGGCCAGAAGATGAACAACGTAGCCTAGATCTCACGTAGTGCACTTGGACATCGCCAAGAAGAAGGAATCCAGCCGGCTTCGACAGCATCAAGCACTCCAGAGAACGAAGCGAGGACGACACGGAGCACAGCGTACTAGTCCTTGATAGTACCATGCGTCTCCGTCTAAAGAGAAGCATCGACCTGTATCTAGAGAGTCGACTCGAGCGCTCCAGACATCAATTGCTGCTGCGTGTACTCCCACAGCACCAGAGCCCCGCTCACGTGCACATTCAGTGAGCGTACCAGTCCAAACTGGGGGATTTCCACACACACGTCGACAAGCTGCAGCACTTCGACCGGGATCCCTTCCTTCTCTCGCCCCAACACCAGCACCATCTTACGGGGCAGCGTGTAGCTCGCGAGACTCACACTGGACGCCGTTTGCTCCACTGCCACAATCGTGTAGCCCTTCGCGCTTCCATCGCACAAGTGCTCGTCGTAAATCGTCACCTTTGAGGTCGCACTTCTTTCCAGTGGCATCCACTTGTGAGCCGTTGCGGCTGACATTTCACGAACGTGACGTCCTGCTGCGTCATCCGCAGGTTCGGCACGACCAGTTTCTTGAGCGTTGAGATCTCGCAAGTCCGTTGCCAGTCCAGCCAGATTCGGGACCTTGTCCACCAAGCTTGCACACATGATAAGAGGCTGTCGAGGTCGTTGACGGGCGTTTAGCGTCGCTCCACGTCGTGCTGCGTCAAAGTCGGCACGCATCGCTGCAGGGAGCGCACTGTCCTCCAGCAGCAGCGCGTCGTGTCAATTTTACGCTGCACAGTGAGGAATCCACTTACGCTATCCGCCTCCATGCTGCTCTTCTGCTCTGAAGGAGTTGGAGGGAAGTTCTCGAGCTGGTACTGCGCGTAGAGCTCGTTCATGGCAGTCTTGAGCTGTTCACTGAAGCGCAGAGCGTCGTCACGAGGTAAGAGCTCTCCGAACTCGCTAATGAAGCCAGAAGAGAGCATCCCCAGCAACGAACTCTCGTAGTCCGAGTGGAACTCGTCCAGTTGTCGAGCTTGACGTCGTAGCATTCGCTTGCACTCCTTGTTGTTGCTCAGATAACGCGCCGTGCCCTCCAGAAAGCGAAGACCTGGAGTGTCTTTAGAGCTTTGTTTCAAGTAGTGGATGTGGCGAGGAAGCACCTTGGCCAGAAGATACTGAGCCAGTACTCGAGTGTAGCCATGAGACGTATTCAACCACGGCAACATGGTCTCCAGCAGTTCTCCACAGTCGACGTCAAGACTGTTGTCGTCCAGCTTGGTGTCCACCAGATACGCCGACACAAGTAACAGTGAAGCGCCCACTTGTGGCATCAGATTCGCATCGCCAAGCATGGGTAGCAACACGCCAGAGCAAATCTCCGTTGGGAACTTGGCAGCCATCCGCATACCGAACAGCTCCATGTAGTAGCGAACACTGGGCAGTTGAGGCACAGCAAATGCAGTAGCTAGAGTAGGAAGCAACTCTGTCAGCTGCGACTTGGTCACGTGTGCACTGACGATGCAGAGAGCCTGCCAGGAGCGCAGTTTCTTGCCGAACCCATCGCTGTTGAGCATGTGTTGCTTCTGCCACTCAGGCGTCACATTGAGCTTCAGAAGTCGAGCTGTCAGAGCATCAAAGAGCTGCTGCGTATCGTTACTGGACGAGCTCTTGTCGACAGCGACGTCGTCCACGAAGCTCAACATGACAAGCCGCACAAATCTGTCCTTGGCGTGGGTCGTGACCGCTGCTGTCTGGTTGCCATCGAGAGGAGAATAGCCTTGGAATCCTTGGAATGGAGCACCCGCATCCGTTGCCAGCTGCTCCTTCTCGTCGATCAAAGGTTCCTTATACAGCAGCAGCTCCACCAGCTCGTCTACAAAGGACAGAGCCGACACTGGGTGTGCACGCCACGTTTGACATAAGCGACACGCCAAGTGGAAGACCACGTTGGGTCTGTGTCTCGAGCCAAAGCGGATAAACCCTGCCAGCCAGAGCTTCATCGTCGAAGTCAGCTCAGCTCGCAGCAGGAATACTGGCTGGAACATACACGTCACGACAGCTCGAGTGAGCGCGTCAGGCTTGGCCTTGCTGTCGTTGTACGCCGTCCAGACTTCCTCTAACAAACTATCAATATCCTTCGAGGCCTGGACCAGTGACCCAGCCAGTTGAGCCAGCGTGAGAGACAGCACGTTGACCATCTGAATCAACGCCGAAGGGTTCATGCCGGCAGTGGGCAACGCCTCGACACACGCGTCGTAGGTCGCTCGAAGTAGTTTCGTGTCGATGAAAGACGAGGATTCCACGACACGATCCAGATAGGATCCACAGGACGCATCCTGCCCTTACCGTCGCCCCCACACGCTTGGCTTGTGCTGGAGTAGGTGAATGGTAGAGTGAGAGACGACACTGAGAGAGCGACGGGGTGCCCGCAGGTCCCAGCAACCTCGTAAAATGGATACTGCTGAGAAACGTTACGAACTTCGACAATGGGTGCCAATCATTATTACGAAACTTAAACTTCAAGAATGGTTTAATAATGGGTGCCAATCATTATTACGAACCTCAAACGAGGGGCTGCCAGTCATTCGGCAACCGGAAACAATGGAAAGCGCCGACAAGAAATACAGCGAATCAATAGAAGGTAGAGCAGCATAGCGATGCATCCTTACATACAAACGATTGAAGTACAGCACGGCTGGACAGTCAATATGCATTGGATCAGGCGAAGATATGCAAGTCGTAGATATGGTTTGAAATCATTGAGATAAACAGTGTAATGCGTATTTCATCCAGCTAACTCGCACCAGTCGATACGGAATGTATTCTAGCGCTTCTGATTCTCAAAGACCCGCCGACAGCATCCTCTTCATGTCTGATGTGGAGTTCTAGATCGTTCGTGGGAGGTCATAGCCCCACCATGCAGTGCACGTACGTGCATGGTGCACGTCCGGATTAACCCGTCCGAGTTTATAGCATGCGTACTTTTGTGGATGTCAGCTTTGCGTGGTACTCGCACCACTATGCCCCTCTCAGGTTCTGCATGTAGTAATTGTATCAGTGGCATTTGTGCGAGGACAGCGATAAACATCAGAGCTCATGCTTGCTGTCATTGGTGCTCTGGTACGAGTGCCCATCTCTATGATAACAATGTGCATGTTGAGCAATACATGTACGTGACAGTTGCTTCATGAGATGTAGCTTGTATCAATTAGCTACGTGATCCACTCAATACGTCGTACCATGTGTCGAAACTGCAGTAATGTTAAGTGGCCTTGTAACAAGACAAGAGTCTTCAAGGCTTTTGTCCTTGTAGTTCGAGGTGCATGGGCGCCATTATGGTGACAGTGTGCACAGCAAACGTCATGAAGCGTCGCTTAGTTCATTATAATTATTCTTTTAAGAATTTCATCATGAATCGTTTTGATCTTCAAAGTGTATCCGTATTTTTACTTCGGTAGTTTTTTTTTCACAAGTCACACATTTTATTTTTGAGTTATTATTGGCAGCGACGTCCTCTCCCCCCGTTGAGTGATTCACTGGCAGCCGGGACATGAACGAGCAGCTGCAGGCTGCGGTAGCGACGAGCACTGAGATTGAACCGTGCCGATCCGCTTTCTGCCGCTCAGTGTCACTTCAGATTTGGCGACTTTGAGGCGCAGTCGGAGACCCTCTCCGGTCTCTTCGACATTCTATCGTACAATTCCTGTGTGTTCTTCATCATGGTGTGTGCTGCCTTATGCCAGCTGGTCGCTAACAAGCCCTATCATAGCACACTCGTTTACTGCGCCGATACCGACAGAGACCATGTTGTTCTAGTATGTAACACGCCATCGGGTCTGGACGAAGACCGACCTGTCAGCCCGAGAACAAGGACGCGCTCGCGCAACTCAACGATTACGAGGTAGGTCTGCAGAATAGTGACCACTTGTCCTATCCGATTTCACATGTATGCATCGGTCGATTGTGTTCCGTCAGACCCGCCCCATTTGGATCCAAGACTACTCAAACCACAGCTACCCAGTGGATCAGGCTCGATCCGGCAGCACCTCGGTGTATGTAGCAACAGTGACAACCACTACAAAGGTCAGTGTCAAGGACACGACTGCAGAGCACTGCAGCAACCCTACCGCCCTCACGGCTCTTCAGTGTCTTGACCCCAGTGCACGAGATCTACAACTGTAGCCGGGCGCCGATCTGGTGGCGGCACCAGTGACTGCAACCTCTGACCACTTCAAGACTGCCGTCAACCTAAAATGAACGGGCAACAAGGCGCGCGTGGGCAGCACTGTGCCACCGACCGCTTCGATCGATCGTGTACTTACGGTGAAGACTAGTACGGTGGTACACTGTGTACAAATGTTGCATCATCAAGAAAGCATTCAACAATCAAGTACTACATCTACACGTCCGGAGATTGCGCCAGTAACAAAGATCTAAAGAAGATCGTCTACTAGATCTACAGCAAGCACCGCTTCATGTCGACAATGACTGTAGCCTACAGCCCAAAAAAGGAAGCATGCTTGCCGCAAGTGCACGGGCTACCGGAAGTCTACGCAAAGATATTATTCATGTGTGCATCGGGCGTTGGCGGCGGAAGGCGTCGCGATATGTTTCTCATTGGAGCTTTGTCGTTCCTGGTTCAGTTGCTATAAGCTGTGGATGTCGGTGCAAGGACTGCGTTTAAGATCGACCACGGCACGACTGCGTGCTCGCCGAACTCTGCAAAGGCTGCTTTGTCCTGTCTTCAGTCAACTTCGCCGAAGATTCTGGCGCGATGTCTTTGTTCGAAAGGAAACGCCAGGTTGCTCTTCATCTGTCTGTCCGGACCGAGTCTCTGCTGCGGAGCGCTCGTGCAGCAACAGTCGGCTCTCGGTGCTTAGGAGCAGTTTTGTCTTGGTGCTGCGCGCAAGTACAAGTCGGTACCGGAGTTAATACCGTTTCGAGTGGGTCGCATACCTCGAAAATAATCATCCCAGATCACTTCAAGTCCTTCACTCCGAATATGATCGTTTTTAGAATCTACAATCTAGAAGCGATCCAAATTGGTAATCCGGCGAGACGGCTGCCCCCTCGTGATTAATTTTCGGAGTCCCCGCGCCTTGTGAAGTTTGTGGCTTGAGCCGGCCAGATGGGATCATGGCCAGATTGCTCAAGCCAGATGGCGACGCAGTATAGAGAAGTTGTTTACGGAGCGGTGCCGGTGGGTTTTCATAAGAATCACGGGGCCAGGTTTGGCAGATCACGTGCTGCATTTCTCGATTGCGTGTCTCTGCTGAAGGTTTGTGGCTTCGGCCGGTGAGGTGCCAATATGTCGTCGTTTTCATCGGCCAGGCGGCGATGCTGACGCAACTTTGAGGTTCAATCGCTGCTTCGTTGTTCGTGGAGTGGTTTGGGTTTCGCCAAATTCAGGGTGTGACGGCCAGATAAATGCGTAGCACTGCCCGAATTTTTGTCAGATTGCGCTTGGTTCCGGGTTTTACTACGAGTTGCGCTGATTTTACACTAAAATTGCGTTTGTTATGAGACTTCGGCGCTTGATAAAGTGTCCGCTGCGGACTTCGATCAGGTGATTTGCCTTCACTACGCTAAGTTAGTGCAAACAATGTGGGGCCCGTGGTCAAATTGATACTAAAGCGTATTTTTGGGTAGGTGACTAGACATTGGATCGGTAAGCGTAGATCCGTTCGCTTATTTTTTTATCCCTGAAGTTTATGGTGTTCTAATTGATCTTTCGAGTATTTGTTGATGCTAGAATTGCGTGGTGGTGGAATGCCAGTCACGAAAATTGCGTTGATTGCCACTGTACCACGCAGTCAGTATGCTTACTGTCCTTACATTGTAGGATTGAGTTGGAAACGTTGGGTGGAATGTTTCTTGAAAATAATGCTAAGCGTAACAGTGGCCACTGTGCAACTTCGACAATCGTCGCTCTCTCAATTGGCTCGGTTTGTTCCATTTGGTGGCACATTTGCTGTTGATACTGAGCTGCTATCACTTGATAATCTGCTGAGATTTATGGTTCTCTGGAAGTATGCTGCAATCGTGACACTTTCAGCAATAGCGAGGCGTAAATATTTGAAGATTTGCATTGTGATTGCTCTATTCAGACGCTAAGAGACGACCTGCCCCATTCCACGAAGCTTGTGGGGACTGTAAACGCTCAGCCACCTGTCGGAGCACACACATTTACGCATCAATTGAAACAATCGGCGAGCCTTTACGAAGTCACATGTTGAAGGAGATCTCAAGTGGCTGCTGTTGTAAAGAGCTATTGGATTATTTTCTCTACCTTTGTGTCTATCACCAGCTCTACAGTCCACCCACTTGTCGTCGCAGTTCAGCCCTGGTGCCGTCTGAGAGTGCTCCTTGCAGCTTTGACCTCACTCTGCAATTTGCAGCAACCCTCTCAAGCCCTCTTCGACCTTCAAGTCTTCTTCGCCAAAGTCTTCTTCGCCAAGGTGAACTTCGCTTTACAAGTAACCAAAACTGTCCCACTCCATGCGCCAAGACGACTAACTACCAAGCACACAGAAGTCTCGAGCCGGAACGTCCATCTTGCACGCCACGAGACATGCACCCATTTCCTCCACCGCGACCTCACTCTGCAGAGTCCACTTGGGTCAGCTCGTCGACTTGGGCCAGAAGATGAACAACGTAGCCTAGATCTCACGTAGTGCACTCGGACATCGCCAAGAAGAAGGAATCCAGCCGGCTTCGACAGCATCAAGCACTCCAGAGAACGAAGCGAGGACGACACGGAGCACAGCGTACTAGTCCTTGATAGTACCATGCGTCTCCGTCTAAAGAGAAGCATCGACCTGTATCTAGAGAGTCGACTCGAGCGCTCCAGACATTAATTGCTGCTGCGTGTACTCCCACAGCACCAGAGCCCCGCTCACGTGCACATTCAGTGAGCGTACCAGTCCAAACTGGGGGATTTCCACACACACGTCGACAAGCTGCAGCACTTCGACCGGGATCCCTTCCTTCTCTCGCCCCAACACCAGCACCATCTTACGGGGCAGCGTGTAGCTCGCGAGACTCACACTGGACGCCGTTTGCTCCACTGCCACAATCGTGTAGCCCTCGCGCTTCCATCGCACAAGTGCTCGTCGTAAATCGTCACCTTGAGGTCGCACTTCTTCCAGTGGCATCCACTTGTGAGCCGTGGCGCTGACATTCACGAACGTGACGTCCTGCTGCGTCATCCGCAGGCTCGGCACGACCAGTTTCTGAGCGTTGAAGATCTCGCAAGTCCGTGCCAGTCCAGCCAGATTCGGGACCTTGTCCACCAAGCTTGCACACATGATAAGAGGCTGTCGAGGTCGTTGACGGGCGTTTAGCGTCGCTCCACGTCGTGCTGCGTCAAAGTCGGCACGCATCGCTGCAGGGAGCGCACTGTCCTCCAGCAGCAGCGCCGTCGTGTCAATTTTACGCTGCACAGTGAGGATTCCACTTACGCTATCCGCCTCCATGCTGCTCTTCTGCTCTGAAGGAGTTGGAGGGAAGTTCTCGAGCTGGTACTGCGCGTAGAGCTCGTTCATGGCAGTCTTGAGCTGTTCACTGCAGCGCAGAGCGTCGTCACGAGGTAAGAGCTCTCCGAACTCGCTAATGAAGCCAGAAGAGAGCATCCCCAGCAACGAACTCTCGTAGTCCGGGTGGAACTCGTCCAGTTGTCGAGCTTGACGTCGTAGCATTCGCTTGCACTCCTTGTTGTTGCTCAGATAACGCGCCGTGCCCTCCAGAAAGCGAAGACCTGGAGTGTCTTTAGAGCTTTGTTTCAAGTAGTGGATGTGGCGAGGAAGCACCTTGGCCAGCAGATACTGAGCCAGTACTCGAGTGTAGCCATGAGACGTATTCAACCACGGCAACATGGTCTCCAGCAGTTCTCCACAGTCGACGTCAAGACTGTTGTCGTCCAGCTTGGTGTCCACCAAATACGCCGACACAAGTAACAGTGAAGCGCCCACTTGTGGCATCAGATTCGCATCGCCAAGCATGGGCAGCAACACGCCAGAGCAAATCTCCGTTGGGAACTTGGCAGCCATCCGCATACCGAACAGCTCCATGTAGTAGCGAACACTGGGCAGTTGAGGCACAGCAAATGCAGTAGCTAGAGTAGGAAGCACTCTGTCAGCTGCGACTTGATCACGTGTGCACTGACGATGCAGAGAGCCTGCCAGGAGCGCAGTTTCTTGCCGAACCCATCGCTGTTGAGCATGTGTTGCTTCTGCCACTCAGGCGTCACATTGAGCTTCAGAAGTCGAGCTGTCAGAGCATCAAAGAGCTGCTGCGTATCGTTACTGGACGAGCTCTTGTCGACAGCGACGTCGTCCACGAAGCTCAACATGACAAGCCGCACAAATCTGTCCTTGGCGTGGGTCGTGACCGCTGCTGTCTGGTTGCCATCGAGAGGAGAATAGCCTTGGAATCCTTGGAGATGGAGCACCCGTCTATTAGCTACGTGATCCACTCAATACGTCGTACTATGTGTCAAAACGGCAGTAATGTAAGTGCCTTGTGACAAGACAAGAGTCTTCAAGGCTTTTGTCCTTGTAGTTCGAGGTGCATGGGCGCCATTATGATGACAGTGTGCACAGCAAACGTCATGAAGCGTTGCTTAGTTCATTATAATTATTCTTTAAAGAATTTCATCATGAATCGTTTTGATCTTCAAAGTGTATCCGTATTTTTGCTTCAGTAGTTTTTTTTTCCACAAGTCAACACCTTTAATTTTTGAGAGTAATATTGGCCAGCGACGTCCTCTCCCCCCGTCGAGTGCTTCACTGGCAAGAACCGAGCAGCTGCAGGCTGCGATAGCGACGAGCACTGAGATTGAACCGTGGTACTGAAAAGCCGGATCCGCTTTCTGCCGCTCAGTGTCACTTCAGATTTGGCGACTTTGAGGCGCAGTCGGAGACCCTCTCCGGTCTCTTCGACATTCTATCGTACAATTCCTGTGTGTTCTTCATCATGGTGTGTACTGCCTTATGCCATCTGCTCGCTAACAAGCCTTATCGTAGCACACTCGTTTACTACGCCGATACCGACAGAGACCATATTGTTTTAGTATGTAACACGCCATCGGGTCTGGACGAAGACCGACCTGTCAGCCCGAGAACAAGGACGCGCTCGCGCAACTCAACGATTACGAGGTAGGTCTGCAGAATAGTGACCACTTGTCCTATCCGATTTCACATGTATGCATCGGTCGATTGTGTTCCGTCAGACCCGCCCCATTTGGATCCAAGACTACTCAAACCACAGCTACCCAGTGGATCAGGCTCGATCCGGCAGCACCTCGGTGTATGTAGCAACAGTGACAACCACTACAAAGGTCAGTGTCAAGGACACGACTGCAGAGCACTGCAGCAACCCTACCGCCCTCACGGCTCTTCAGTGTCTTGACCCCAGTGCACGAGATCTACAACTGTAGCCGGGCGCCGATCTGGTGGCGGCACCAGTGACTGCAACCTCTGACCACTTCAAGACTGCCGTCAACCTAAAATGAACGGGCAACAAGGCGCGCGTGGGCAGCACTGTGCCACCGACCGCTTCGATCGATCGTGTACTTACGGTGAAGACTAGTACGGTGGTACACTGTGTACAAATGTTGCATCATCAAGAAAGCATTCAACAATCAAGTACTACATCTACACGTCCGGAGATTGCGCCAGTAACAAAGATCTAAAGAAGATCGTCTACTAGATCTACAGCAAGCACCGCTTCATGTCGACAATGACTGTAGCCTACAGCCCAAAAAAGGAAGCATGCTTGCCGCAAGTGCACGGGCTACCGGAAGTCTACGCAAAGATATTATTCATGTGTGCATCGGGCGTTGGCGGCGGAAGGCGTCGCGATATGTTTCTCATTGGAGCTTTGTCGTTCCTGGTTCAGCTGCTATAAGCTGTGGATGTCGGTGCAAGGACTGCGTTTAAGATCGACCACGGCACGACTGCGTGCTCGCCGAACTCTGCAAAGGCTGCTTTGTCCTGTCTTCAGTCAACTTCGCCGAAGATTCTGGCGCGATGTCTTTGTTCGAAAGGAAACGCCAGGTTGCTCTTCATCTGTCTGTCCGGACCGAGTCTCTGCTGCGGAGCGCTCGTGCAGCAACAGTCGGCTCTCGGTGCTTAGGAGCAGTTTTGTCTTGGTGCTGCGCGCAAGTACAAGTCGGTACCGGAGTTAATACCGTTTCGAGTGGGTCGCATACCTCGAAAATAATCATCCCAGATCACTTCAAGTCCTTCACTCCGAATATGATCGTTTTTAGAATCTACAATCTAGAAGCGATCCAAATTGGTAATCCGGCGAGACGGCTGCCCCCTCGTGATTAATTTTCGGAGTCCCCGCGCCTTGTGAAGTTTGTGGCTTGAGCCGGCCAGATGGGATCATGGCCAGATTGCTCAAGCCAGATGGCGACGCAGTATAGAGAAGTTGTTTACGGAGCGGTGCCGGTGGGTTTTCATAAGAATCACGGGGCCAGGTTTGGCAGATCACGTGCTGCATTTCTCGATTGCGTGTCTCTGCTGAAGGTTTGTGGCTTCGGCCGGTGAGGTGCCAATATGTCGTCGTTTCCATCGCCCAGGCGGCGATGCTGACGCAACTTTGAGGTTCAATCGCTGCTTCGTTGTTCGTGGAGTGGTTTGGGTTTCGCCAAATTCAGGGTGTGACGGCCAGATAAATGCGTAGCACTGCCCGAATTTTTGTCAGATTGCGCTTGGTTCCGGGTTTTACTACGAGTTGCGCTGATTTTACACTAAAATTGCGTTTGTTATGAGACTTCGGCGCTTGATAAAGTGTCCGCTGCGGACTTCGATCAGGTGATTTGCCTTCACTACGCTAAGTTAGTGCAAACAATGTGGGGCCCGTGGTCAAATTGATACTAAAGCGTATTTTTGGGTAGGTGACTAGACATTGGATCGGTAAGCGTAGATCCGTTCGCTTATTTTTTTATCCCTGAAGTTTATGGTGTTCTAATTGATCTTTCGAGTATTTGTTGATGCTAGAATTGCGTGGTGGTGGAATGCCAGTCACGAAAATTGCGTTGATTCCTTGCCACTGTACCACGCAGTCAGTATGCTTACTGTCCTTACATTGTAGGATTGAGTTGGAAACGTTGGGTGGAATGTTTCTTGAAAATAATGCTAAGCGTAACAGTGGCCACTGTGCAACTTCGACAATCGTCGCTCTCTCAATTGGCTCGGTTTGTTCCATTTGGTGGCACATTTGCTGTTGATACTGAGCTGCTATCACTTGATAATCTGCTGAGATTTATGGTTCTCTGGAAGTATGCTGCAATCGTGACACTTTCAGCAATAGCGAGGCGTAAATATTGAAGATTT